GAAATTTAAAGATTTTACTGCTTGGGTTAAAAAGTTAGGTCGTAATACTTCAACACACAAAATGTATATTTGTGGTTCAAATGCATCTGTTATAACAAAAAAATGGTTAGAAGAAATAGGTAAAACAGCGTCTATTGTTCAACTTAGTGATGTTATAACTCCTGAATTTACTAATGCAATAGCATTAGGAGATATTGTAATTGTTGAAATCCCAAATATCAATTCATTGACCGATAACCTTGATACTTTCAAAAATTTTAAACAAAACAATATTATTGTTTGTTGCACTGATATTAAAAATTGTCCTAAAAATAAAGGAGCTTCATTCAGTGCTGTATTTAAACGAATTTCTCTCAAGTGATTTTTATCATATTTTTATATCCTTTTCTTTTTTACTTTTAAAATTACTTTTTATTATGAACATTCGTTTTTTCAATAACTTTCTAAAAAAGGTAAATATGTTAATATTCTTTTGAAAATGCATACAATTAAGAAAGAACTGAAATACTTATATATAAACATGTCCTTCACTATTTTGTTCTCCTTTTAAGTTATAAAAAATAACTTTATTCTTTCTTTAAAATTCATTTAAATTGGACTGACTTTTCATTTATCAGAAAACAATCTGTTATGTTAAAAAAATAAAATAAATCAATAACAATTTTAAATTGTTCAATAAATTTAATTTTAAGGCCAAACACTGTACTAAATAGAGTTAGTTTTTTATTTAATATTTTGTCAGGAAAAGATAAAAAAAGATATAAAGTGTGATAAGAAGAAAGATAACAAACAACCAAAATTGCTGCAACAGCTAAATTGATTATAATCAATACAATAAATGTAATGATTAATACAATAATTTTGGTATTTTCATGTAATAAATGGAACATATTTTTAAGAATTGTAATGGACATAACAAGAAATCCAATAATAATTAATGGAATTTGAATATACCAAAATGGAATAGCACATAATGGAATTACGATAAGATAAATAGTATAAGAATATCCAAATAGACAAATATAAGAAACTAATGGGTTCTTAATTTTAAAAGCAAACCTACAAACAGCCCAGAGAATAATTGGAATAAAAATAATATAAAGTAAAACAGTACCAGTAATAATAGAAAGTTTTTTATAATCATATGCATTTTCAATAATTGAACTTAACGAACCACTGAAAAAGGCTAAGAAAACAACAGTTAATGGAATCCATAATGGTCCATATAAATCAGGATTACCTTCAGTCTGTTTAAAGAAATTACCAAAAAATGGAATTAATCCCCAGAACATTCTTTTTAATACATCCATAGTATCAACATTGAACCATCTTGCATAAAATTCTGATTTATAAAAATGATACCATTTATATTCTTTTATTTCTTCTTCATTTGAGGTGTTTGGTTTTTCTTCATCACCTGTTCCTGATGGGTTTATTTGTGAATTTGTTGTTTGTGTAGCAAAATTAACTTGTTCGTTTTGTTGTGCAGAAAAGTCTATATCTCCAGACTGTGCAAATGAGTTATCACTGACAACAAACCCACTTTCATTTGTGTCTTGAGTTGCAATAAATGGATTTGACATTTTTTTTTTGTAATTACCAGTTCTCATAAATCTTTTTATTTTTTTTAATCCCTTTTTTATTTGTCTTTTTTTTGTTTTATTTTTTTGAAATTTGTTATTGTTCTTTTTTTAAGAATATTATTTTTCATGTTATATATAACGATTTAAAATAAAAACATTATTTTTATAAATTTTTTTTAGAGATTTTTTCTATTTATTTTAATTGAGAATAAATTAATAAAATTATCTTTTTTATTTAATAAACGTGTTTGTTTTATTTAATTCAGTATTTTATTCTTTAATTTAATTTATTTGATAATATACTCCTTCAACTAAGGAAAGACTCAAATTCATTCATTTTTAATTTTAATTTATGAAAAATTAATTGTTAATAAAGGGTATGAATAGCAGTTATTGAATAAAAAAAATATAAGAAATTTATAAAGACTTGAATAAATAATAGTATTGTTATATATTAATAAAGAATAAATAAGTATTAAAAAAAAGAAGAAAGGAAATTGAAGTGAAATAAAATAATATCAAAACATTTACTTATAAAAAATAGAAATAGAAAGGAAATTTAAGCAGAAAATTAATAAACAATAAAAGTGTTAATAAAGAGTAAGTCTAAATACAGAAGAATAATAATTTAAATCAAAAAATATATGTTTAATTTTTTTTTTAAATAAATTGATATATGTAGAGAATTACTAATCTATATTCTTAGATGTTTGTATTTTATTTTTATTGAGAGTGTTAAAGAGTATATCATTCTATTTTATATTTAATAATACAAACACAGAGTTACCTTATAACTGAGTATGAGATTATTGTTTGAATAAAATTATTTTATTAAATTTAATATTCATTTTTATTTTTCATTATGTATCAACTTAACTTTTATTTATATTAAGAAGAATTATTTATTTAACAAGAATAAACTGAGTTTGATCTTTTTTTTATAAATTCTATTTTTATAAAAAGAAAATAACGCTAAAATTACATTAAAATAATACTTTAAGTTTACAAATAGAAATATAAATTAATGGTTATAGTAAATAGAATGTGGTTTTGAAAAAAAGTTACTGTATAAGAGGAGATAAACTTTAAAAGATTAAAGAGATATCATCGAAAAAAAAGAAGATAAACGTTAAATTATTTTTGAAATACTGTAAAAAAAATTGAGTTGAATATAATGGAGGTGTGATAATTAAAATTCAATTGAATTCAATATAAAATACAATTTTTACAATATTTTTATAAAAATTATTTATATTTATTAATTTCTCATTGAAAATAAAACTAAAAAGAGTAAATAGATAAAGAGGGAATAAGGCAAAGGAATGATTGGACAAAAAACTGAATACTGGCATCACATTGAGTCATGTTTAAAAATGTTTGAAGAGAGAATTAACTTCATCGAACTTGGAATGAGTGAAATGAAAGAATCAATACAAATACTCTTCACTAAAGAACAAGTGTTAAATAAATATTTTAATAGTTATAAAAAAGGAAATGAAGAAGAAATTAAACTTAAAATAGATATGACAAAACAAGATATTATAAGAATTATTGATGAACTTAATGACCAAGGAATTAGAATAAATGAAAATACATTGAACATTGAAATCCAGAATTACTTAATTGATGACATTAAAAAGATGAGTAAAAAACAATCTAAAGAAAAAGAGCAAATGATAAGGGAGTTGATAAAAGAAGAAATGAGATAATACGCTTCAAAAACTCAAAAAAGAAAAAAGTAAAGAAGGGCAAAAAGTTGAGGAGTTAAATAAAACAGATATAACTGATTTATTAACTCCACAAGAAATTCGCCAACTACAAGGATGGACAGAAAGAAGAGTATCCAATATATTATTTAATTCAGGTAGTGATGATTGGAATCAGAATACATCAGTATTTGATAAAAGAATAATGAATAAAGAACATATAATAATTATTATTGAAGATGAAGATGGAAATAAATTTGGAGGATACGTCAATGTGAAAATTAATGAAGACAATGAATGGATAAACGATCCAAAATCATTTTTATTTTCATTAGAATCAAAAAGAAGAATGAATGGAATGATGAAATTTGGTATTAGAAACCCATGATATGCATTTATTTTTAATCATCAATCACATCGTGGGTTGTTTGCATTTGGATTCGGTGAAAAAGATGGAGGTGCATATGATATTCGTGTTTATAAAAAAAATAATAAAACAGAGTCACATTGTAAACAACATTCATTTGAATATAATGGAGTTAAAGATGCACTTTGTGGAAAATATAACTTCACACCACAACGAATCATTGTAATTGAAATGAAATAGGCTGATTATTAATTAAATGTGCTTTATTTAAAATAAAATGTTTACATAACAAATTACAACCGTTACATAATAATAACTATTTTGACTCTTTAAAAATACAATAAAATAAATAATATAAGTTCAAGAAATATGACTATGTTGTATTCATAATTATAATTATAGTAGAGTTTATCATAAAACCATTATAGAATAACAATCATCATATAATTATAACTTAAGTATTCATGAGTATTTCATTTGTTATTTTAATAAATTTTAATAAGTTTAATAGAAATAATTACATCATAACAAAAGACAAGAAAATATAAAGATTGTCAAAATAACCAGAGAAGAACAAAAAAGTTAAATTAATAGATATATCCACAACTTGGTTTTCTTCTATTGAGAAGTGATTATTTCAGTTTCTTCAATATGCTCTACTTCTACAACAGAGTTCATTTCAATTATATGAGAATTAGAAGGTTCATCTTCTAATGTGTTGCCAGTGTTGAATATGAAGAACATTAAGTATTTCATATTTTTAATAATGATTGTTCATAGTATTTTGGGGAAGTCGATTTGTAATTTTAGTGTCTTTAATCTTCTTACTGATTCTTTATGTATTAATTTATTGTTAATATTACAAGTATTATTTCTACTTAAATTAGTTCTATACTTTGTATTAATTTCTCTTGTAGTTCTTTGTATTTATTTATTTTGTAAATATAATTTAATTCATTATTTCTATCTTGACATATGGCGACATCATTAATACATCATTTTTTTCTTTGATGTTTTTGTAATATTATCTATTTTTCTAACATTAAAAGAATAGTCACTAACAAAAATCATTATTTTAAGTTATAACCATTTCATCATTATTAATACATTTAGGAGGGGAATTAAAATCTATAAATGAAAAGGTACTGAAAGTAAAAGAAAAAAATTATAATTATTAAAAGAAATAATGTTTCAAGATTTTTATTGGAAAATAGAATGAAAAATTATGTAAATTTTTATCTACAATTTTCATAATATTAAAGCATTGACATTATTTGTTAAATTAGAATTTAAAATAAAACTATATTTAATAACACTAAAAAATGAACTCATCATAAATATTTAATGGCTGTAGAAGAAGATCCAGCGTTTATTGGAATTGACTTGGGAACCACATTCTCTTCTATAGTTTATTATGACACTATCAGAAAGGAACCTGTCTTAATTGAAGACGAAACAGGAAAAGAACAAACAGCATCATGGATTAGTCTTTCACAACTAGATACTGGTGGTAGTGTTGTTGTAGGGAATGTTGCTAGGAATAGCACTAATTTAGTTTATGTTATTTATGACAGTAAGAGAATAATAGGAAAAAATGAAAGTGATGTTAATTATGAAGATCGTGAACGTTGGCCATTTGATGTGAGAAGTAGAGACAATGGATGTGCTTATATTGAATGCTATAATCCATTGACTCAAAATACTGAAGGGTTTGAACCAGAAGAAGTTAGCGGAATGATATTAAAATATTTATATGGAATTGCTCAAAATAAACTTGGTAATCGTCCAATATCAAATGTTGTTGTTACTGTTCCAGTTGATTTTAATGATAGACAAAGAGATGCAACATTATTAGCATGTAAATTAGCGGGAATTAAGAATGTCTCACTTGCTAATGAACCAACAGCAGCTATTATTGAATATAAAAGAGAATATCCAAATTCGTTAAAAGGTGGAGATAAAATTGTAGTAATTGATTTTGGAGGTGGAACATTAGATGTGACATGTTGTAAAATAGCAAATGATAGTATTATTGTAGAGTCATGTGGAGGAAATCAAAATTTAGGAGGAAATGATTTTGATAATGTGATGATTGATATCATTAAAGAAAGAATAAAAGAAAGTATTCCAGGGTATTATAAAAGGAAACGAGGAATGACTCAAAAAGAAAAGATAATACTCAACAAGAAATTAATTAGATTAAAGAAAGAATCAGAAAGAGTTAAAATTAAATTAAGTAATAAAACTGTTACTGAGTTAAATTTAGAGTTATTGTTATCTGATGATTACTATGATATTGGTATTAACATTGATCCTACTATTACAAGAAAAGCATTTGAAGAAGAGTGTGACAAAAGAGGATTATATAAAGAATTTATTAATAAAATACAAGGGGTTACTCTGAGAAAAGGATATAAAAAAAGAACTGTTCAACTAGTATTGTTAATTGGTGGAACATGTAAAATGCCAAGAATTAGAGAAGAAGTTGCTAGTTTATTTGATAGACAAACATTTTCTGATAAAAATTTCAATCCACTCAGTGCTGTCGCAAAAGGAGCTGGATATTTAGCATATTCAAAGGGTGTTGATTGTGTTAGTAATAAAATTGTATATGACATTGTTCCAACACCAATTGGAATAGAGGTAGAAGGAGGAATTTTTGAATCACTTATTAAAGCTGGAGAAGCAATTCTTCCTAAAAACGTAATTAGAAGACGATATTCCACCACTGTTAACAATCAGACATATGCTAAGTTTAAAATTTATAGAGGATTTGGTAAATATACCAATTCTGATGGAATGGAATATATTACTACACTCACTATTAATGGAATTCCTAAGAGAAAAACTGGAAAATGTGTAATTGAATTTACAACTCAAGTTAATGAAAATGGAATTATGGAACTAACTGCCTCTGTTGTTGGAACTGATGTTAAGACTAATTTAACTACTGTTGTAGATTTATCTAAAACCGAAGAAGAAGTTGAACAATTATTTGAACACTTTCAAATGTTTTATTAAATGAACAATGTTTAATTCTTGATTTATTTGTTTTTGTTGTATCATGAATTAGGACAGTGATCTTTTAAATATTATAGATTTATGTATAAAATAAAAGAGAAATGAAGAGATAAGAACAACCATTATCTATTTGAAAAAAAAGATGTGATTTACGGTCACGAAATTATGCATTTTATTCGTATTCATCATTATATTATTATAATGATTTGTGAACTTGTTTATTATTTCAGAATTGCTGTCTAAATGTAATGAATATTATCATTGTTTGATTAAAACATAGTGTTTATGTTTGATAGATCATTGAAATGAATTATCATGTTGCAAATTAATTCTTGTTAAATGTTTAAAAGGTAAAAAAAATAGTAGAAAATACAATTAGATGAAAATATTTGTGATTAAATATGAGAAGAATATATTTGTACATTATGAGTTCTATCTTTCTACTTCGATGTCTGTATTAAATGAATACATCTGTTGATGAAATTGAAATAAAATAAAATAAATACAAAATGAAAATGATAAAAGAAAGAATAAAGAAAATAATAAGAAAGTAAATATAATGATTAATGATAAAATTGATGAATTATTATCATGAATGAAAGTTGAAGATGAACATTAAAATCATTAATATTAATCATAAATGTTTAATTTATAATACATATTAAATAGTCATTCTTC